GCAGAAGTCACAAATCACTTGACCAGCGTTGTCTTTGTACTCCTATCCCTAAAGCTTCAACTATTATATATTGAGAAGGACCCAGAGAGGGAGGGAGAGAGAGAGAGAACGAAAGAAAGAGAGAGGGGGGAGGAGAAAGAAAGATAGAAGGAAAGAAGGAGAGATGTGGGGAGAAAGAGAGGGTGAGAAAGAAAGCGCGCGCGTGCGAGAGAGAGAGAGAGAGAGAGAAGAGAGAGAGAGAGAGAGAGGAGAGAGAGCCATACATGATTAGGGTCTGATTAAGGAGTCAGCAGTTTTTCTATAACGTTGTGCTGGTGAGCAGTGTACGTCATGAGCGAGGTTCACATCGCACTTTTTCAAACTTTCAACAAATTTTAAGCTTTTGCGAATCATATTTGATATGGATTAGCTAAATGCAAATCGGTAATTTTTATGCAATAAGTGGCACAACTTGTGGCATAACATGGAACGAATTGTTTTTTACTGAGCCTGAAATTATAGGAATCGGCACGCTTTGGATGTTTATACATTTTGAGAATCATGTTTTGCAATACTTGCTAATAAATTTCACCTTTTGATTAGCAAAGTTTTAAAGCGCGCACAATGCGCATCCAACGCTAATTTCTCCAGAGCATAGAGCTAGCAATACTATGTCATGGCATAATGCACACTACCCTTATACAGAAATAACTCTAGTTCCTGCCCATTTGACTGCGCGTTCCCAACTAAGAAAGAGGTGCGAATCAGGTAAATCAGGCCGCCCAACGCTAAATTTTTCAAACAACATAACATCGAAGTGGGAACGTGACAGTCACAATGTTTATTATTTTGCTGCTCCCGTAACCCGCGTAAGCCGCGCACGACTCCGCTGCAAGCGGTTGCGCCTGGAAGATTGGTAAAAACTGTCAACACAACAATCGGAAGTATTTCAAAATACGCTTTTATAAACAACGCGGCAGTGAAATGGGAAGGAACTAGAGTTATTGGCGATAAGGTAGTAGATCATGCATGAACACAAGTAATTTGCTAAGTCCTAGTATCTGAAGAAATAGCGTTGGATCGCGCATTGTGCGCTTTAATGATTCAAGTTGGGAAATCCATGACGTACGCTGCTGGTAAGCATAGAGTTGGCGAGCACGTGTAGGTGGTGCCACCTGTCGGCAGCATAAATGGTTGCCAGGTAAGAGTACGAGGTGACGTCAAGTTGTTGTTATCAGACAGCAGATATAATTAACGCGTGTATATATTATATGAAAGTCGACATTAGAAGTGAAGCTGTGAAGCTATATGCTTTGTGACAGACATGCCAAAGGTGTTAGTAAGTACTAGTAATATTGCATGTAGTGCGTAAGTTTTCTCGTAACACCACATTCATATTACCCTGATATTACTCTTCGTGTACTTCGGTTAAAATGCGATTCAAAAGTAGCTCGCATAAGCCCGTCCCATTCACTCGAAATATTCATTTTAATTCTGACAACGGTGATATGATAGCATTTGTATGCAGACAAGGTCCCGTTAGCGCAGTTGCGTTGCCATTAATCCGTTCACTGTCGTCCACGTATTGCAGATGTTATAAATAAATAATGTTGATGTGGATATCAACCACAGACGACGTCTGTGAAATACTGGTGCAGACTCTGTTCCTTACCATAACGTCCTATTGATCAAGCAGAAATTGTGAGATTGTTTACCCGGTGTGTCTAATCTTGTTCGCTACTGCGCGACCACTTATATGTATCGTATCGTGTCGTGTCCGTAATCTCTGTTCTATTTTATCGTTTAATATCTCGGTTAGCTTGCTCTACCGTGGTTTGACAATCATTCGTACTATTGTAAGGTACGTTGTATGCGTGCAAACGTACACGTATACATAGGACGAGTATGTCATCGTCGCTTTTCTGCATAGCGTGCACCGTGTGTAGATACTGTGTATGATATCCTGCTTGTCATTGCATTGATGTTGGGTTTCTAGGCCCATCACGTTTAACCGAAATGGCCACAACTAGTCCATCCGTGTTCAGATATACAGATACTTGTGATGTACTGGTGTGCGTGGTCAGAAACAAAGTGATTCAGAAATACTGCAAGGTGACTCTGTGTTTGATGCTCAAGTCATCGAATAGATTTCAGATTGAGAGCCAAGATTCATGTCAACCTGTAATGGAGGTGTAACTTTAGTCACAAGTGCAATGAATGTTTTAGGTTGATAAACGGCCAGACTGAGCAAAAGTGCAACGACTCATTATCGATATGGCGCATTTCATGTATTGATAATATTATTATCTCTCTAACCTGATCACTTGCCTGAGAACATATTAATGTTTCCGGATTTATATTCGAGCAGATGTGCACAAATATTTACACCTATACCAGGTGCCACAGCATGTATACATTGAGCGATGCTGATCAAAATTCCATGGTCTCATATTTGAGTAACAGTACAAGTAATATTGTACGTTGTTCGGCTAAGGTTTACGTAAATGTATGTGTGAGAGTTGACGTAATAAGGGCAGTTTCAGTATCAAAATGAAGTAAGCCAGTCTTTTCTTAGTTGGGAAAGTCACTAGCTGCTTCAGAACTATCCTGCAAGTTACAAACGTCGTGCTAAAAACCCCAAAACGCGGTTGTCCGTCTAGTTGTGACAAAGTACGAATTCTACTACATTCGTCCTGTACGCGCGTACGAATGCGCCCAACCAAGTATCTGTCACCGATGTAATATGGACTGCTATCGCTTTAGTTTTTTCGTGAGAAAACGTTTCTTTAGCAATAATTTTACATGCTTATGTTAGAAAGAGAACGAATCAGTATTGATACGGTATTACTTAATTTGCACCAGTGAGACCGAATGTATATGTGTCTGCGTGTGGGTGCGTGGCTGAGAGAGCGAGTGTGCGTGAAAGATGATATTTTATATGCTGTTGTAAATAGTGATCGTGTTAAATATTTCAAATAAATCCTTTATTTGCTGTAGATATTTGACACTGCATATGTGGCCAAATGTTATAATAAATCATGAAATCATCAAAGGAGAGTTCATTGCATTATTTCTATTGATAAATGTGTGAAATAACTGTTTATTCATATGTCGTAGTTCAGTATTAACACCATTATATACTAAATATTGTTTTCAGTCATTAGCATTGTTGTATATTAGGTTTCTCATACATTGTTATGAACTGTAAAATGTATCTAACAGATCAATCTAACAAACACACAAAAATATGAAGTCATATTATCAATCATCATACTGTGTAACATTTATTTAGATAAACAACATTACATACAAATTATTTTTGTACAATAATAATATAGAATATACAAAAACACGTGTATTCACAAAATCTACTCGAACAACGAGCCAACTATGGGGAATTTCTACTGACTATGATTTGCGTAGTATTAACTACTCGGCTGGCATTACAACATGCCACTTTTCTCAATCTTCAGGGGAATGGATATATGGGGGATATATCAGTCGGTGCTACAGCAGTTATGACGATTCTACACCTACAGCCAGTTACGATATGGTTGCTACCAGTTACGTTTGCTCCGTTTAGTGTAACCATAGATGTGTACAAATACACACGTGTTTGCATATATCTATGGTAGAATGCATTCCGTGTCCACCAAAGTACGAATAAGTTTGCAGGCGAGACCATGACTTTTCCGCGAATATACTTCGCGGTAATTAGAAGAAGTCAAACGCTGACACTTGTCAATTGACCTCGTCTATTATTGCTAGTTCATACACGAATATATACATTGAAATCTCTCACAACTAGTCGAGTTTTTGCAACAGTTTTGAGAAGATATTTGAGAACAAGGCACTTATTTTGGCACGTCTCTCTTTACAAATAAATAATTTGAGCAATGCATTAGGAACACTTTCACAAACAATTATATTCAACCTGCCCTAGCTGCACTAGTCATAACTGAGATTATAGTTAACAATGATTAAGATGATATCCAAGTTGATATCCATGTTGTGTTGCATAGCACGAACGCCTTGGTATTTTATTAGAATGTGTGGATTATATGGGTGGTCTTATACAATGCAGTAATGCTCTGACAACATACAACGCTAGATGGCGTGCTTGTTGAAATTACGTGACTATAATTTATTGTATGCGTTCATCTGTAGATTTACTGCCACATTCTTTTCTCCTGTATGTAAATTAAAAGTTACTAAGCCGCACTATCCGACAGTGTCACTGATGCAATGCCACGGGAAGAGATATTACAAAAGACAGCAAAATTGATTTAAACAGAAACTGGGGAAAAATATTTACACGGTAACGACACGATTCAACAGTTTGGCGTCAGTTTACTCCGGGGTAGTAATACGCACTCATTTTCTGATCAGAAATAAAAACCGACGGCACTCTAGAAATGCACCGCACCAACAACGATTAAAATCTGCTTGCTTCAAACCACAACAGATGCAGTAAGAACGTCACCACGCTAATGCTGCTGCTAGTATAGTAAATTCGTCAGACTGCGTGGACTTTCCTGGATAGGTGGCTCTACCCACGAAATGAACTCCATATTTAATTCGATGATGACAACAATTTCGTCATTTTTGCTCGCGCTGTAGGCTCAACACGTCACGCACCCGCCATGTTCGCGCCAACGGCAGCAAACCTCGGCATGCGTGTAGCCACCGCGTGGTTCTACTTCCCACAATCCCTTCAGTAGCTCACTTAGAACGTATCCCTAAAAAGCACCTCGAGCCCATCTAGGGGACGTAGTGAAGTTGGACTGTTCTATTTAGAATCATTCCTCTAGCCACACCCCAGGGGCGCGGGATCCCACGGAGCAAGCTTACTACTGCACGCACGTGGCACGCAAGTCACAGATGTCATAGCTACACACACTTGTGTGCCTATACGTATACACGCGTACGTCGCAGACATAGCCTCACGCACTTGTGTGCCTGTACGTGTACGTGCGTAGGTCGCAGGCATAGCCTCACGCAAGTGTGCCTGTACGTGTACGTGCGTAGGTCGCAGACATAGCCTCACGCACTTGTGTGCCTATACACGTACCTGCATAACTCACAGATGTAGCCTCACGCACTTGGTCATACCCTCGTCGACAGTCTGTTTGGATTGAGCGTCTCATCAACATAGTTCTCCGGCGGGAGGTAACCGCCGCCTCTCGGCACAGCGGCGTAGTTCCCGTAGTTTCTGTAGTCGACAGCAGGTGGCGCTGAGAACACGTATCCGGGCTGCGTCGGCAGGCTGTTGTTGCTAAGGCGATAGCTCGGCTGCCGAACGTAGTTCTGGCTGGAGCCGTAGTCGTGTATGTAGTCGTCGATGTGCAGAAATCCGTTGTTGTTCATCCGATTGTCAGGCTGCGTCGAATTGGGAGGAAAAAATATGTTAAACGCGATTTTCACTAAGCGTATTTTACAGTTGCACGATACTCTAAAGTAGCTATCCATCCACTACTGAGATATTTCGTGCATTTTCCTACCCGTGCGTATCGATTATCTACTAAATTATATCGAAAATTAATCACCTTTTTTCAGCGTTACAGATCCTTTGAGGATATAGTATGCTCCATAAACACAGAAAAACATGTAAGGTCAATGAGGTTAGGACGGACTGTTCAAAAACCGAACTCTCAATCTTCAACAACGTATAAAACCACGAGCGGTTTTGCGATCGACAACACGGTCGGGTTAAACTGATACATCGTTAATGAACCACGACGAATTTAAATTAATCGAAATCCATTCTACACAGAGCATCCTAACAATCGCTCCATCTCACCCCCTACCACACACACACACACAGACAACGGCACACGTTAGAAGATGTTGTCGTTCATTGAGGACTAGCAAACTTCTAGATGAAGGCATTATACGTATAGCTATATGTCGCTCATTAGAACATCGCTCAGCGAGGATCGCCATCACATCTGGATATTATATTACCTTATTCATATTATCATTATTATTATTATTATTTATTATTGATTATTGATTACCTTCTGTATGTATGCGGCGGGCTCGGCGTAGTCTCCCGATGCGCCGGACATGCGGTAGAGACTGTCTCGTCCGTCGATGGGCCACGTGTCACGCGCGCCGCACCCCGCACCGTTGCTACGCAGCGAGCCGGGCTTGTAGTCGGACAGAGCCACCATGTTGGATCGTCCGCGATTCTTCTCCACGCTGCCGTACGTCGACTCCGCCTCTGCAATGCGCGCGAGACGCGGATTAAATAACGCTAATTAGCTGTTTAACTATTTAACCTATCTTTACTTTTTTTACTCTACCCCTTTAATTATTTACCGATGTGGCAATCGACTCAGGCACGGTAACCTGACGAACTGATGACACGGCTCTGGAACGCTCGAGACGCTTGGAACGACATGTCGTGCGTGCCGAAAACTAATAAACTATTTAACTATTTAACATTTAACCATCCTACCGGGAGGAGGTTTTCTAATGGTGGCAATCTCGGTGAAACGATCGACTCGAGTACATTTCGATTTATGATTCGTGCCAACGGTAATGCCGAAACAAGCGTGTATGTGTCGGTATGTCACCGATCACGTGGGCCTGCCGCACGCCACAGTTTGTCAAAACATCAACCTGCTGTTTGCGTTACGCCGTATAAACATAGACGAGATCGATTTCAATCGAGATTTTCTCGAATCCGCAGCGTCCCGATAGCGAAAATTAACATTACGAGACGTGCGTGCTATAAAAAACTGCCACATAGCGTCGGCGATCGTTTACGACAGAATTGTTGTTTTTTCTTCCTACAGGGGGCAGCACTCACCGTCGTCTGGGTGGCGTCTGCGGTTGCACAGCACTATGGCGATGGCGACGAGCACGATCAGTATGAGGCCGCCGATGATGCTGCCGATGACGATAGGTAGCGACACTGCAAACACACGCGCACGTGTCACGGTGAGTTACTACGTTATAGTTCTGATGAATTACTACGTTATGGTTCCGATGAGTTACTACGGTAGTTATGGTGAGTTACTACGTTATAGTTGCGGTGATCAAGTTACTACCCGGGGTTACTGCGTTATGGTTCCGGTGAGTTACTACGTTATAGTTACGGTGAGTTACTACGGTAGTTATGGTGAGTTACAGTGCACTACCTTACACGCTCCAACCACGGCGGTAGCTAGAGGGGGTGGGGGGGAGTTCTCCCCCCCAGAAAAAAATAGATACGATACATGGTCAATAGCGGTAACCTTCCCAGAACAGACCACGCACGTCCTGGCTCAAACTGTTGAACTGTAGTCACGTTCTTAACACGTACGTTTCTAATCTCTGCCACAAGGTGGCACTGCATCCATCGACATACATTGTACCGCAGACAACAAGTACAAGTATTGGAACGGAAATTGCAATTCATGTGCGATAATAATGTTATGCGTATAATTACTACATAAATTCATTTTCGTGAATTTAAAAATAAATTTTTTGAATAATTTTTTGTGAATAAAATAAAACCATTTTCTTTATGAATTTTATTTCTATAAAAAAATTGATTTTTAATTATATGTATATAAATAAATTTAGGCGACTAAACCGCTAGACAAACTTCACACTCTACGTCTCGCGTTTCGTCGTCAGCGATCGGATGCTCACGTGTTTTCTCGACGATGATGATCTTCTCCGCTCTCCCGTAGCCGTTGTCGGCAGAGCAGTTGTAAGCGCCGAAATCCTCGCTGCGCATGTTTGACACGATGAGCCGGCTGATGTAGATGTTGGCGTGTTCGTCCGACAACGTGGTGAAGCGATCATCAGAGAGATCGACGGGTCGCCCGCCGTGCCACCACACCACTTGTTTTGGTACCGGCATGCCCTCTATACGGCATTCAACTAAAACACAAGGCGTTTTAGTGAGAGTCACATTTTGTGTGGAAATCGTGAAGAAAAATGTGTGAATTTACTGAGCGTTTATTTTGAAAAGAAAGGTGGAAACCCTCTCAAGGCCGTACGCAGCAGGGGGGCAGCAGGGGCAGTTGCCCCCCCCCCTAGAGATTTTCAGAGTATGCCTTTTAATGGGACAAATAGGGCAATAGAGGGCGTGGGGAGTACCTTTGCCCCCCTACAGAAAATTTCCTGCGTATTTGCCCCCCTACAGAAAATTTCCTGCATACGGCCTTGAACCCTCTTACCAATGATATTCATTTTACAGTTTGATCAATATTCTCTGAAATTATCTAGATGTATAAATATGTCATATGTGATTACCCCTCGCATTTGATCCTTCTGGAAACTTCTGAATGCCCTCACTGGTGATTGCAGGTGAACCTTTGAAGAAATACCCACAGATAAATACAGCAATCAAGTATCAAATACGCAAGTTCGCAGCATGCCAATTGATTTCTAACAAACAAAACAGCCTACACTGTAGAACACGTCAATCGAAATACATCACCATATACGATCATACGATCGTATATGATCATATACTTGCAGTTTTCTAAATTGAATTCCGATCAGTAAACAAATGTTATAATCAAAATGCTTGACTAATAAAAAAGTTAATACGGTTAATATTCACCTTAATATCCCCCCAACACATGCTATATTTCATTAAGATGCACGTCTACGAATTAGGCAAACATGGTTATTGCGCAGACGGACGCTAACCTTTGATGTAGACAACGACCTCGGCGTTGATGTCTGCAAAGTTTGGCACGGACGCGACACAGATGTACCTGCCTGCCGTGTGCTGACTCGCCTTGTGTATCGTCAGCGTGGGAGCACTGCTCAGAATCTCTGAATCTACAACAGAACCACGATATTCTGCACTGTGGTGTTGGTGTGTCCAACACTTCTCCTTGGAACTCCTTACTCTACTACTAACTCCTTACTCTACTACTAACTCCTTACTCGCGTTCTTTCAATACACTATGATATATTATATTAATAGCAGCATTGTTGTTTAATAACACGTTTTAATAAATTGTAATATACGTAATAATTTTTTAATAACAGATTTACCACGTTTGTGAGTGAGCGAGTGAGTGAGTGAGTGAGTGAGTGAGTGAGTGAGTGAGTGAGTGAGTCAGTGGGTGAGTGAATGAGTAAGTGATTGATTGAGTGACTGAGTGCGTAAGTGAATGAATGAGTGAGTGAGTGAGTGAGTGAGTGAGTGAGTGAGTGAGTGAGTGAGTGAGTGGATGGGTGGGAGAGTGAGTGAGTGGATGGGTGGGAGAGTGAGTGAGTGGATAGGTGGGTGGGTGAGTGAGTGAGTGAGTGATTGCACGAGTGAGGGAGGGAGGGAGGGAGTGAGTGAGTGAGTGAGTGGATGGATGGGAGAGTGAGCGAGTGGATGGGTGGGTGAGTGAGTGAGTGAGTGAGTGTGCGAGTGAGTGAATGAGTGAGTGAATGAGTGAGTCAGTGAGCGAGTGTGCGAGTGCGTGTGTGGGAGCATACCAGAGCCATTTCTATGCCAGATAATGGCAGGGCGTGGATTTCCATCTGCCTCACAGTGCAGGGTTGCATCGTGGCCCAAGTCCACTGCAACACTTGCCGGTGGGTTCCTGAACTTTGGTCCATCTATAATGATATCAGGCATTTGTCAGTAGTTTGTAACGCACAATGCTCACCCCCTGTACAGTGGGGCTGGTAACCATGAAGAAGTTCAGTTAAGATGCCCTGAGACTATACGACATTGCTTCAGAAGGTCTAAGAGGAAAGGTTATGGTTAGGACTAATGTTAAGACGAATTTTGTGTCTGACAATGTGCTCCTGACAGACACACGTGCACCACGTGACAGGCACGTGGGACTGATTGCTAATTAAGCATATGCTACGGCAACCAGCTTGTATTGAGTGAAAATTGTTGCCCTTACTACAGGGAATCTGACATTACCAACAAGCCTAGTGAACAATCATTGACCTCGCTCTGTACGTGCTGTCTAATTGATTAGGGGGAATAGGTGGTTAGGTAAAAAACCAAGGTTAACTTGCAAAGGATAAAGCGATAAGTAATAGCTCAACAATTCAATTCAATTCAATTCAATTTAATTTATTTAATTCAGAAACAAGCTGTCGTAGTTTCGTACTACGGATACGCAATTAGATAAAGAACTCGTAGAGTATGTGACAAGTATGTTTTTTCCAGCAGAACCACACGTGCATCCCTGTCCGACCAGTGCTGCCATCTATCGTGATATATGACATAACTATAACAAACTATGACACAAGCACAACAGATATTACTGCACTCACATATCATCTCGATGACGTGTGACGCGGTGGACATCCCGACCACGTTCCTCGCCTCACAGCGTATCTTGTCGTTGTGATAGCCTCTGCCGATATTATATATCTGAGAAAAAATGGCGATAAGCGTTAATGTTGCACTGAAGCCTGACGTTTTTATGTGATAGCATGCATCAATGATGTTTCAATCAAAAACATGGCTACAGAGGAAGAGACCAGTGCTCTCATCGTGTGATCCTTCCCCTGCTTACTGACAGTTTCAGGTGAATGCATTGATGTCTCAAACAAAAATATGGCTACAGAGGAAGAGACACCAACACCTTAATCTTGTAACCCTTTCCCCTTCTCACTGACAGTTTTAAACGATAGCACTGATGCCACAATCAGAACATGGCTACAGAGTGAAACCCCAGCACCTTAATTTTGTAACCCTCCTCCTCCTTACTGACTGACAGTTTCAGGTGAACGCAATGACGTCTCAAACAAAAACATGGCTACAGAGGAAGACATCTGTATACCTTCATCTTGCGACCTTTCTCCTCTTCAATGAGCAGCTCGTTGCGATACCAGCGATATTCGATGCCGTTAGGGTTGGCGGTGGCCTGACAGTGCACCACCACGTTATCATACTCCCTCACCGAGTACGGAACCACCGTCATACGCAGCGCTGGCGCATCTGAAACAGCAGACCCATGGAATGAGCGCGCGTACTAACTTTTGCCGGACCTATGTGTACGTGATGCGCAAAACTTACGAGCCACGAAAACATGTCAGTTGTGTCCTGGTTATGAAAATGACGAGGTGCGGGTTAAGACGCTCAGTTAGGCACAGAAACGTCACATCCTTTGCAAGATTTAGAGAAATTATAATCATGACTATGATGATCGATTTTTTTTTTTTTCAGGCGAGTGATTATGTACGGAGAGTGACACATTACCGAATGATGTACAGTTATTATGTTGGTGTTGTAAAATATTGGTGATGAAGTGAGACACCAGTACAGGACAAACCAAATAACAAGGCCTTTTGAATCTAACAAGAGTGGGTAAATGACCAATTAAAAATAACCCTCTCAGTTATTTCAGGTTACGTCTGTTCTCACGAATCGTCAAGGTCACATTTGAATTCCAACAAATTAAAAAAAAAAAAACTAACAAAAAGAATAAAACAAATGCTCGTGTTATAATGACGTAAGATGTGCAGTAGGACTTACATAGGACATCCATCTGCACCTGCACACTGCGGGGTGCAGTCAGTGCAGGATGGTGCATCAGACACGTGAAAGCCTTGCCAGCGTACTCGCGGGTTGGCGTGATGTTGATCCACTGCACAGCATTCATCTTCTTACTGCGCGAGAGAGACGCAAGATGGCTTCACGTCAGACACAAATATAAAAATGCCGTGTGTGTGTGCGTGCGTGCGTACGTGTGCGTGCGTGCGTGCGTGCGTGCGTACGTGTGCGTGCGTGCGTGCGTGCGTGTGTGTGTGTGTATGCGCGCGCATGCGTGCGGGCGGGAGTGCGTACGCGTGTGTGCGTGCATGCATGCGTACACATGCATGTGTAATTAGATATACATAAAGGATTTTGTGACATTTATATGTACATATTCATATACATATCCAGCATGCGTGTGTGCATCAAAGACGCCTCATAACGGGTAATAAAGCAGCGATAACTTCTCGCAGTGAATCTCTCTCACCTGCCAGGAATGTCCTCAGCGATGTAAGTGCTGTTAACGTCGGGCGGGAGCACCGCTGTGGTCGTGCCAGGCTAGCGTTGCTGCCGGCTTGCCACCGTCCGCCCTGCACGTCAGGTTAAACGGAACGTCCGCCGTCACCTGTATCTTGGAGCCCTCAGCAATCTCCGGATTGTTGGGCGCAACTGGCGAAACGTAATGTATGATAATAGTATTACTATGTTTAAAACATAATGAATTTTACTGGAAAACTCCAAAGAAAAGAAAGGTAAAGAAAAGAAAAGGATAGAAAAGAAAAAAAGAGAAGAAACGAGGAAGACATAATGTATATATATATATAATATAATATATATATATATATATGTATACTGTCCACTTGCAAGGGTTTCCCATGTTTTTCATTCAGCATTTTAGAATTTCCTCCCGCAACGACAAAATGAAGTCACTATTTATCGCATTTCTGGCACAAAAAACGTTCAGGGATCGGCAGAGCCGGAATGCGTCAAACACTTGAAATACTTCTCACGACGTGCTTCGCTGTTTACGCATACCACGTGACGAAAGCAGCTGACTACAGCAGAACTCATGGCAGGGCGCCATCAAAACGAACATCCATTAATTACACAAAGTTGTTCATCACAGAACCAACCACGGCACCATACTCACAATCCTCTACTCATGCAGTGTGAGGGGGGTCCTGTAGTGGGAGG